TAAGATAACCACTAGATTCTCATTAATATTCCTCAAAGCAGCCCTCATACCAGTGCGGAGGTGTACTGTAGTCTGAAAAGCAGTAATAACAGCAAAGCATTTACTAATTTTGAGTGAAAACACATCCCTGGATTTAACCTCTAAGAGTCTACTATTGTTGGAGCACCTTTGCCTGCAGGAGTCAAACATGTCTAGGTTTTAAAAGTGTTTGGCTCTTCTAAGAAGTGCCTCCAAAAATCAGAGCATAGCTGTCTGTATCATCTGTATTTAGACTATTAAAGCAGCAATGGAAAAATATTTTGCCATTCCCATGGGCAGAACAGTATATAACAACATGTACCAACACTAACATATTAGTTGTACAGATTTAGGACTGTTCGTTTACTTTTACTTGAAAAGTACAAACACCACTGGCTCCACACAATTATTTTTTTTTGCTACGCAGACACACTTTTATGTTCTAAGACTACAAACTCAACATGCCCAAATGTTTGGCTTTTTTTCCTTCCCCTCCCCCCACTGTCTAGTCTAGCAGAGGTCAGACATTATCATCCCAGTGAGCACAATCCACCATTAAACACCTAACAGCCATGTTTTCTGCCTGCTTAACACTGGGCTTCAGGAACAGACAACACAACAGCTGTCTTCAGGAAGGTGCTTTGAAAGCCTATGAAAGATTCCCAAAGAACATGAGGCAGCATTTCGGAAATCCAACAACAAAAAAAGACTTGGAAGAGGCTCAAGGAAGGCTTGATGAGAAACAGGATGGAGTGTGTGCTAGAGAACAGAGCTGTGCCTAAACCATCCCTTCCCAATCATTTGTCCCAACACTTGTGCCTCAGTTTCCCCATCTCCAAAGCCAGGATAATCCATCCTCACAAGGCAGACTGAGACACTCGCAAAGATTGCTCTTTAATTACTACCCATCCTGAGAACAGCCTAGGCATTGATCACCAGTGACAACCTCTCTGAACTCAGCTATGCATGTGAACCTGCACCAGTATTAGTAGAAAGATAAACTTTCAACAACATCCTGAAGCAATTATTCCGAGACTACAGCAATTTTTTAATTTATTTTTTTTTGGCAGAACTTGGATGATAAGCAGACTAACTTAAAAAAAAAGAAAAATCAAACTCAAAACATTTTGTTGCTTTTATACACAAGTTTAAAAGGTAAGAACAACTACTTCAGTCACCTTTAAATTAATTTTTCATTTATTTCAAGTGTCTGAGCTCAGACTGCTTAGCTATAATAACAGCTGTTTCACGCCTCTGTGCCTGGATACCATAACTCCATTTAAATCTTTTGTAAAGAAGACGATGGAGGGGCAAGAGCAGCATTCCACCACTGCCAGCAAAAGAAGTAGCTACTGTGTAAACAGAGATTCAATACTCTGCTGGCAGTATTATCAACATTACATAAACTGGTACCAAGCTTTAAATAAAATGGCACTGTAACATGGCGGGAGATGCTTATACCACAGCGTAGTTAAAACTGCATCTTTCACGCCCTACAAATTATACTTCATCCAAATCAGTTCCTAGATCCAGTTCACCATGCAAACACATATACCCTTCTCCCAGCAAAAGAGGTACTGACCTTACCATCTAGCAGTAATGAGAACACCAGATAAAAATATCAGAATTGTTTTGCTTTTGCACAAGACTTCATTTCTACATAGCTATTTGTGACCTAGAGGGCAAAAAATAAAGGTGACAACACCATCGCTACCCTCTGCTTACGCAGCCCTGTCAGAATCAGGAATGTTTCTTAAGCATATGCAACCTGCATTCAAAAAGAAAAAACACAACAGATCACCTTCGATATACCTGGTTACAGTACTGAGTGCCCCTGGAAAAGAAGGTCAGACAGGAAATAAAGAAATCGGTCTCATTTAATCATCATTAGTTGCAATTTTTCCTAAAGGAGTTCAAACCCTTGTGAAAACTGACTCCTCTATTTATTGTTATGATTCTATGATTTAGCCTCCCCTCTTGTCCAACACTAAAGTGTGCCACCAGACTGAAGCTGCCACGGAAGCTCAAGATCAGCAAAGACAGAGCACCCCTGGCAGCAGTGGTCAGTGCTACAGATGGATTTGCCTTGCAGGACACATCCTGCAAAGCCATTTGGCAGGAACCAGCATAGAAAGCAAAGCAATAAACAGTTACAGTAATGTGGCTGAAAAGACAAGCTATGTAATTTCAATCCCACCTGCAAACATGAAGACCAGGGCATTTCACTGTTAGAGTAAATGTTTATTAGGGTTGCTCTGTACCTGTGTAGCTTCTCATTCCAGCTTTTTGCCAGACCGAAGCAAGCGTTTGCCCTGGCATGTCAGTTCAAGGATAAATACCTAGGGACTCCAAAAAGGAAAATTCTTTGTCACGACAACTATTATAAATCTGACAAGCCATCAGCATCCTCAGAATTGCCTGGATTCAGGCACCTGCTCTTCAGCACTGATTCTTCACCCAAGGCAGCTCCATGCTATTTACCAGCTGTACCTAGAAGCATGGCAGTTACACAGCCTGCGAGGCAGACTAGATACACCTATTCAGTATCAGCAGTCTACAGAAGGTACATAGTCAGGGAGAAGGTCCCAAATAAAAAGGACACTACTACATTTTTAATGGTTTATTAATACTTCAACTTTTAATATCTTTGAAGAAGGCCTGAAAGGTAAGTTTTGCTTATTGACTTTGTCTTCTCCCCTTTGGCAAAATGTCACCTTCCACCTCCACCCTCCCTCCTCCCAAGCGGATAACAAAGTTTCAAGCTAGTGTTTTGTTGCTTCTTATATGTAAGTTGGCTTCAATCCTAGCAGCAGAAACATGCAAGCTGGGGCAATCGTGTTTGTCAACAGCTTTTAGAGAATGCATAGAAATGCACGAATAACTTGTGTATTGATATAAATAACTTTTTCTTAAATGAACTTCATATACTTTTTAAGTGGGTTAAATTTGGTGCCCAGAATTACTACAGAAGCTGTATCTTCTATTTAAACAGGCTTTTCCCCCCTCCCCCAAACCATCATACTACTCTTTTTTTAAAGTGCTATATTCATAAAGACTTTAAAATACTACTTTGATACTGTTTACTTGTTCCATCTTGCCCTTTTGAGAAATCAGAAGGGCAATCTGTAATACATATTTAACTACAGTTACGCATTTAGCCTCACACGACTTTATGGGCATTGTTGTCATCTTGTATCAGTAGGAGCAGTGGAGAGACTGTATTTCCCCATGCTTACATACACAAGTAAGCAGGCAGACAAAGCAAGAAGTTCTAACCATTTCAGGAACAAAGACAAACAATTTAATCCATATTACATAATTCACTGAATACAGTTGATCTCATCCAAAGTGACTCCTGAGAGCAAAATAGTTTTAGCATTACATTTTATATACAGCTATGAAGGGATTACAGGAAACCAAGAGAGTCTCCTTATACCATTACTAAGTACACTGGTTACGAGACCGCTGCACACTTTCACTTTGAAGACATTACTTAAACCATGACCAAGTTTTATCACTACCTGTTTGTTATTTATGAAAAAAAGATATTTCAATCTGATTTTCTTGTTATTTTTACCTTATTTCTGCTGCCAGGCATCAAAACCTGAGTCAGCTGCATTAAGCAAGGACTTCTTTTTCTGCTCTCAAGTCTTGAAAGTGCTAGCTACCCTTGAAAACCTCTGTACAGTATGCTGTAAACATCTTAGGATCTTCCAGAGGATTTTTTTTTTCTCCCCTTCAATGCAGGAATGACTGCTCTGTCTGAAGCAAACTACATCCTGCACACTATTGCTTTCGTTATTTTCCACTTAATCGGTTTGGAACAGGCTATGAAAGTTTGATGCGGCAATGTTCTGTTAGAGAGAAAAAAGGAAAAAAAAAAAAGAAAAAAATCAGGAGAATTACACCATTCTGAAACAGCAGAACCAAAATAATCAAGACCTTAACATAGTTTTTCCAGTCACTGGGATGGAAGGAGACTTGAATGCAGACACTGGAACAAGGAATCGGAAACATCTGTGCTTGCATGCTTAAGTGAAAAGATAAGCAGTATTTGCATTTTCTTCATCATCTTCCTTGCACATATGCAAGATTTTATAAAAAAGTTTATCACAGAGAGCAATGACAAAACATGATGTAATTATAGTTTTCTTTTTTTTAAAAAAACACTAAAAATCAAAGGCAACCAAGATAACATACAACTTCTCCAGAACATTTTTCTCAGGTACATAACGTGTGCATGTACCAAGGTCTAACACACTTAGCTGCACCACATCAAGTCAAGCTGTCCAAGAGCATACACAATTTTGCTTACAGGAGTATATGCCTTCTGCAATTTTTCAGTTTATAAGTAATTCCCTGTATTGGATTATGCTTAGTCAGAAGTACAGATAATATTTTGTTCCCATACTACTGTTTGTTTTTATGACAGATGAGGCAAGACATAAGATTAAGTGCAGGGAAGCATTTCAGACCCTCAAATAATGCGTTCTTTAAAACTTAGCTATACATAGTTAACACAGGTAGATCTGCCCAAGAGTTGCATAAAAATTACTTTAATTTTCAAAAGGTGAGCAACTGAGGCTCGCTCAGCAAATATCAACTCTTCTGCATCATAGAATTCACTGTGGGTGTCTGAATCATTCAATTTGCATTTTTGAGTATCTGCTAAAAGAGAATTACAAACTGAGTAGGTTAGTATATGTGAATTAAGTACCCTTATGAAATCAAAGAATAATGTTGACTCCTGGAAGACACCCAGAAGATCCAAAGATAGAACAGAAGGTTGATTATTACACTCCTGCACAATCCAAGCAAATTGTTAATATATTGAAAACATTCATGTCTGGTATTTGTACCTGCTGTATATCCAAATCATTCTGTCCCAAAACAAGTTCGAGAACCATCCTCTCTGTAGTTGAAAGCAGCCAGAAAACAGTTTTTTTTTTTTTAAACAAATTGAAACCTCCCCCCCTCCTGCCCCCAAGTTTCAATTACAACAGTCTAAGCCAGAGACTTAAGCAAATAAACTTCAAAATAGCCATTTGTTACAAGTAGCAAATTACCATGAACAATGAACTTGTTAGGAATCCCTTCTAAAGTACGACACATACAAACAGGCTACCCAGCAGAAAAATCTGTTAACAATTTTATTTCTTTTGTAATGTTAAATATTATAGGACAGGATTGTAAGGATGAAGAACTGTCAACAATGCCTCACAAGGGATAAGAAAGAAATTCTGCCATGATATTAGCAAAGTAAGGTAAGGAGAAAATTTACACAGTAAGAGGCACCATTTCCCCCAGAATACCTCTTGTCATATTCCTGAATGAGTGGGATTAGCAATCTAATAAATCATTTTTCAAGAGGTAACAGCAACAGATAAAATTTTAAAGGATTATTAAAATAACATTTACAAGACTGAACAATTTTTGAATTCTTATTAAAACCACAGAAAGAAAGAACAATTCTTTATTTATGAATTTTCATAAAGGACTGACTGTGCAACTGACACCTGCTATTGATGATTTAATATACAATTTTGTCCAGTAGCCGAACAGTTTGTCTTTTCAGATTGTGTTTTCTAACCGTGCGAGATCATTAAAGGCAAAGCCTGTTATGATGCTGTACACAAAAATGGCCACTTGGGCCATACTACCAATGAAGTGGTAGGTAAACAAATCTTTTTTCTGGCCAAGAAAAAAAAAAAAACAACCAAAAAAACCCCAAAAAAGGAAGCTGCATTTTGCATGCTTCTCTCACTCATCCTTTCTACAAGATGAACTTCCCTAGAAAGAATCCAATGAAAATGGCTGCAATTACAACAAGAAGTGAAGGAAGAGAATTAGAGCCATTATCTCTGAGGGCCAAAGCTGTGGGTGATCCAGATTTATCCGAGTGCGCTACCTTTCTGAGCCTCAAGCCTTCATCCTGAGGGGGGGAAAGAAAACACAGATGGAAAAAAAATTATAAACACATCTTCTTTATAATTGTAAAAACTGGACTCAAAGGCCAATTTACTGGTGAACATTTAAATACAATTTAAAAAAAAATTACTAATATTCCAAATAAAGACAGGTAATCCACTAGCATCTCTCCATGCTCTGGTTAAGAAAGATTCTGAACTTCTTGCTAAGCACAATGAAGAATTCTGCTTTTACTTACTATGTGGCAGAATGAAATAGCAGTAATTTCTTATTGTTAAGGAGAAATGTCTGCTTTGTGTAGTGTTTCTCCAAATGTTCCAATGTCATCAGAATTACAGGTGTGGAGACATCATTATTTCCTGGTTCTTTACAATGCTACCATGGCCAATGAAATTGTCAGATACCCAAAAGCAAATATATAGGAAAGTCACATAGAGTCACATATTGACTAGTTACAGGTTACTGAAATAGCACCTTTACATAAAGGTACTGGAAAGTAGCGTTTGCTTACCTCCTCTGGCCAAACAATTGTTCTTTTTCACTAACCATTTGTGATACAGTATGTTACCCCTTTGGATCTCGTTTACTCATTCTTAATGAATAATAATGCATTTTTATTAAAAGCTACTAATTTGGTATCTCTGATTTGGATTTGAAGTAACTAAGACTACCTTAAATAGGACCATTTCATTTAAGAAGAAAATTATGTAGCTTCAATATCTCATCCATGACAATCACAAAATCTCAATCACTGAGACATTCAAAATATACAGTAGAAACAGAACAGTAAAATCACATTACAAATCACTCTTGACATTTTAACAGTCGTATCTACTTTCTGGAATACACATCTATTGGCCTAATTACAAACCAGACCTTTCAATCAAGAAGAGTGAAGCCACTTCAATAAAAACACATAAGCAGAACTCACTCTCAGGTGCCGATTTTCCTCTGTCAGCTTCATAATCTCTGCTTGAAGCCTTTTGCACTCCTCCACTAGCTTCCTTGTTTCAGTATCATTAAGTGAAACACTATGTGGTTTTGGCATCGGTCCATCCTGTTTAGACGTATTCAGTACTGGGGCGGGCTTGCTTGCATCTATATCATTCTACAAATATTAAGAATTACTTGAGAATTTTACTTACCTAGAGAAAAATCATCCACAGTTTAAAACTGAAACAATCCAGCTACTAATATAGTTCAATGAAATTCCTATTTACAGTAATCTGACCAAAGACTTCTGTTATCACTTCAATTCTGATTAGCTCAAATATTAAAAAACAAGAAGAGATTGCACTGTTTAATTTTGGTACTACATGCTACTGCGACAAAAATTAATACTTTAGCTGCTTAACACTGACCCAGCAGGCATGCAAAAGATGGCATAAAATACATCAAACAGCCTAAAAAAATAAAAGGAAGGAAGTAATTCTGCAATAGTTAAGAAACAAAACAAAGTAAAAAGAAAACAGGTTGTGTCACAAACTAAGTTGAAGTATGGCACAATTATTTTGCACTTATATGAGATTTTTTTACATGCATAGATTCACGCTACTTTCCCCCAACATGCCTTATATACTACTGCAAAAAAATGGACAGTACTAAAAAGAAAAGTCAAGGCCATAAAGTGAATAAGGTTGTTTACAGAAATCCTACTTCAGTACTCTAATTCATAATGCTAAAAACAGCACCCCCGAAAAAAAAAAAATCCCCCAAATCACAACCCAGAATATACAGTATTAAGATTCCATAATCAGAAATTTCAAGTATGAGGGTGAAAAAGAAAAAAAAAAGTTAATGCATAAAAATTTAGTCATATTCTGCAAAACTTTTAGGGAACTGAGTTACCTATTTTTCCAAATATCAAGCTATACAAAACAGACATCTTCAGTCTGTATACAATGAAACTGTCATCTCCTACACAATTGGAATAGACTTTGTCTGAAATCAAGAGCATGAAAGAGGTAATAGGATTTTTATTTTGTCCGATTCTCTGTCTTTACCACTACCTTTAAAAATGCATTTTGGATTCCCAAAGCATGCATTAATTTCTAATCAGTACTTCCTTTTCTAATTCAGCTGAATTAGAAACAAAGGTTTTAAAATTGAAAAGCATTTAATACTTCAAAAAGCAAACGATGCAATTCACTTTTCACTGTACACAGTACTTCTTTTTCTTTTTTTTAATCTGACAGCAATAAAATGCTAAAGCAGATCAATAATAAAAATAATGAAATGATAATAATTTTGGGCACTAGTCTCCATTGCTGGAGGTTTTTAAGATGCAGTTGGACAGGGTGCTCCCTTTCTGATGAAAGGTTGGACCAGATGGTATTTCAAGGTCCCTTTCAACCTGGGCTGTTCTATGAATCCTTGAAAAGTTATATACTGAATTCTCCTCCTGTCTAATTTAGTACAATTTCGTACATTCCATTTAATCAACAAGTCAAATAGGTTTTAAAAGAAATTCAAAACAAATTTCTGTGAGATCCTAACAGCCAGTGTATGACAGTTTCTTACTCTTTTCATACTTACCAGTTTATCATTTTCATTAGGCATTTCAAACACGCATCTTAATTTGGAGTCCATTAACTCATCAGGTTTTGCTTCTTTCCACTAAGACAACAATTAATATAGTTAGCATGCCAGACTCATACAAACATCTCAACAGTTCATAATGTTGCTCTTAGTACTTGCCTCCCCTACCCTAGCGGCAATTTTCAGACTTGTTTCTGAACAATGTTTTTTTTGTTCACTTTGACTACGCAAAAAAGCATAGAAATGGTTAGTTAAGTCTGGAAACAGAAATGAGTAAATTGAACGCAAGGATAGATCCAGAGGTTTGCAGGGGATAGGGAGGGGACAATACAGCAGTTCCTTTAACACACAATGAGGAACAAGTACCATCCGAGTCAGTTTAAGAACCAAGTTCTAGCTCTTTCACTCCTTGGTAAATGTACTCCTTATGTCCCATCTTGGAAGCATCAATTTTAAACAAAAGGTTGAAAAACATCTTTTAGTGACTCTTTATTTAGTTCCAGCATAAATTTCTTTAGTTCTTTGTATTTCAGATTTTTAACCACTTCCTCCTTTTACTGCATAGTACATTACAATTTGGGCCTAGAGAATTTTTCAAAGCTGTTTATAAAAAAACATGTCAAATTCTAATGGTTGTCAATATATTTAAGTAACAGTGAAATATGCTGGAATCTCTCTGCTCAACTGACAATTAACTTTCAAAGGATACACTTCATGTAGTTGGCTTAAATCTTTAGGCTCAGAGACTGATCTGAAGTCTGTGGCAATTTTTCCAACAATAGGTCCTCTGAAGTTACCCTAGAACTGCAGGTCTTACAGACTAGAATACCCAGGCTTTTCATAACACCCTTCCCACTCCCCCCCCCTTTTTTTTTTATCCAGTGGCATTAGTTGTATAGTAACTTACAACTACAATTACCAATTTTCTGCAAGATCTGCTTCTCAGTATTCTATACTTGAACACACTGAGAAAGCAGTTATTTGAAAAGTATTTCTAAAGTGGATTTTTATATCCTCACCAAATAGTTACGCTTCACTTACCACACATAACCAAGAGCCATCAGACCATATTAAGAAAAAGTAAACCAGACCAATGAGGAAGAGAGATGTTAACTTTCTAGCTACATGTCTCAAAAGCTTAACAAAATCTAAAAGGTTTTCCACTTTTTCCAGTGAAGAGTGATGTCACAGTAGTCTTTGCCTTCATATAAGGGGACAGAGCCTAAACCTGCAAAGGTCTAGTGAATTACAGTGATTTATAAAACCTCATCTTTATCCTTTGTTTCCCCTCTCCTCCTCTGTCTGCCCTGAGTGAACGTTGAACATACCTGTGTAAACTCAGGCATTCCTTGCAAGAGTCTCTATAGACAGAAGCCTGTGCATCATTCCCCTCCACCTTAATACACATGCTTATGGGAGTCTACATACACCCTCAAGGGCATGTTCTGACAACCAAATGTTTCCTTCCCATTGCTACCACCTTGTAACATCAGAAACAAGCGTCCTTACTTCTGAACTAACAAGCACAAACCTAAGCATCTTCTTTCTGGATCTTTCATAAGACCAATCCTGCCTAAGAACTCAATCTACTACATGTTCTATTAAAACAGAAGATAAATCTATAATTTGTGCTGTGTTTAGCCACTTGGTATCTTGCAATAAGACATATCTTAAGTCTTCCAAATGTTTTAATTCATTATAATCCCATTCAACCTTTCATTTAAACACTTTTCAGACCAAATGCACCCATTTCATACAGCTTTAGGCTTGTTGTTTAAACATACTCAATTCCTTCAAATACAATGTTTATCCCCTTCAGATTAGCTGTGTATAAGGTACAATATGCCCATATTTTAACACTGAACTGATTTTAGATTCACTACTATTTCCATTCAACCAGTTCACTAGGCGAGTTCTAAGAACTGAGCTTGTATTTAACATTAAAACCCCCGAATCACATATGGAAGTTATACTTGTTCAGAGAAAACCCAATTCTTCTCCAAAAATAAACTGCAAAAACACTATTCATTTACACTTAAGCCTGAGTTTTTACAAAAAAAACCCCCAACAGTCATTTTACCCTATTTTTACTTACCACTGCCTCCATATCTGAAATATTTGGCGGTGCATAGGTTGTTTGTACCATAAACTTGTGCTTACTCTTCTCATTTGGGTCATAGTCGAAAGGCTGCAGCATTACTGTTCGAAAGAAACAATAAAGCACAAAACTGTGATTCTTCAGCTGATCACTGCAACAAGCATGCTATCCACTTTAGATTTGCCTCTCACTGAGCCGACACTGAAAGTTAAAATGCAAAGGCAGAGTTGAAAACAGAGAAGATATACACTGTGGCAAGAGATACTGAGAGAAAAGATCTTAAAGTTTTTCAGAGTCTGACATAGCTGACATGATTATTTCTGTACTTGCTATAGCTAAAAGACGTTTCATATACAAGTATGAACAAACAGATCCTGTAAGACAGACAAAAAAAAATAATCCCAAATGCCACAGGATTTTTCTTTGGAATAAACACATTTTTTGATTAAGTGAATGCAAAGTTAAAGAATTGTAGCACATACTATGATAGTTGGGGAGGGGGGCGGGGAAGGCATCATGTTAGTCCCCTAGTCTCCTTTTAGAGACAGTTAGCTGCCTTACTCCAGATGAAAGTACAGGACCACACAAATTATATTTAAAATATGTGTATGTGGGTACACGTGCAACTTGGTCTACCAGAGGATGAGGACTCAGAGTGAACTGTAAAGATAAATTATTTGACAATGTACATATACTTGTCTTCCACAGAATGCGAATTCCAGTTCAGTATACGTTTATACAAAATTAAGAGAATTGGAGAATCATAGAATGGTTTGGGTTGGAAGGGACCTCAAAGATCATCTAGTTCCAACCCACCTGGCATGGGCAGGGACACCCTCCACTTGACCAGGCTGCCCAAAGCCCCATCCAGCCTGGCCTTGAACAATTCCAGGGAGGGGGCATCATCCACAACTTCTCTGGGCAACCTCCCCTAGTGCCTCACCGCGCTTATTGTAAAAAATGTATTCCTGATACCTAATCAAAACCTACCCTCTTTCAGTTTAAAGCCATTACCCCTTGTCCTATCACTCCAGGCCCTTGTAAATAGTTCCTCTCCAGCTTTCCTGTAGGCCCCTTCAGGTACCGGAAGGCTGCTCTAAGGTCTCCCCGGAGCCTTCTCTTCTCCAAGCTAGACAACCCCAACTCTCTCAGTGTGTCTTCATAGGAGAGGTGCTCCAGCACTCTGATCATCTTCATGGCTCTCCTCTGGACTCAGTCCCAACAGGGTCCTTGTCTCTCTTGTACTGGGGACCACGGAGCTGGACAAAGTACTCCAGGTGAGGTACTCTCATGAGAGCAGAATAGAGGAGAATCACCTCCCTCAACCTGCTGGTCGCATTTTTGATGCAGCCCAGGATACAGTTGGCTTTCTGGGCTGCAAGCGCACATTGCCGGCTCATGTTGAAGCAGTTTCAGATAAAGATTTTAAAAAACCCCTAAAATTACACTTATGTAGTCCTATCAACAGATATCTGTATATTTACCTATTTTACAGCAATGAAAAAGCTATAGCAGAAATACTGATTTAGCTAGAAAAGCACACTGTGTGCTCTGAACCTTCCCATATATTCTAAACCAATTCAGTTTGTATACTTTGATATTGCTACAGTTTTCAACAATTCAATTATATTTTCCACAATTCTGAATCTTCACTGGATGTAGAGTTCAACATGTTTCCCTTCACACAGAGAGTAAATTCTTCATGCTAGGACTGAACTGCATTAGCTTATAAAATACTAAGTACACTATCAAAATTATTAACTTGGCCTAGTACCTATGAAAAAAAAGTTACTTCTAAATTTAATTACATTAATTAATTTACATTAATTTGAGGCCTTACATATTAGTTACAAGTCCAGGTGTTTGCTACAGGATAGTTATCGCTTTTTTATTATTATTTTCCTTAAATGTTACATAAATCATAATCAAAGGATAAGTGAATAATGTGAATCAGATATATTACACAAATAAAGCACATAAAGGAATTGCAGTATTTGACATGCTTTCAAACAATCCCATTTGGAAAGGTTTAAAAGTCCAGTTTCCTTAAATCCTTGGTCTCACTGTGGTCCAAAACATAACTGATCAAACTAAATGCTTCTTCCAGGTACAGATGCTATAGCAATTTATCTCTAAGAATTGTTCCATCAACAGACTACTGAATAGTATGCAGTACTTCAGTTTCCTAAAGCCAAGGGAACAGATGGAATAACTTGAAAGATAGCAAAGCCAGCTTTCCATCATCAGAGAACTTTTTCACATGCTGGCAGAATCCTTGAGTAACAGGGATAACTGTTACGCTCTTTATGCTCTTTGACCACTCGGTAACAGCTGAAAACCTGATTGAATTGAAAAGCAGCAGAAAAAGACAATCCACAGATCCAAAGAGCCCTTCAAGCTCTTCATGGTTTTAAGTAATCACGGAAAATCTCATGAATATACAAAGCCGCAGTTTTCAAGATGTTCTTGGAATCCCTGAGTAGTCCAGAGATCACTTCTAGGGGAAGAGCAACAAATAGCTATGAAAGGAAGCCTCTTGTTAATAGGCCTCAGTCTTCTATGGAGGAAGGCTTTATCTCCACAAAATAAATCTTAAAGGGGTCTGGAAATCAGAAGGAAGAACAGTAACAAGTAACAGTAACAAGTTGTGAAGGAAGAAGAGTATTCTGAAAAGAAAAATCAACAACAAGCAATTGTTGTTAACAAGCAATACATGACACAATAATGAAGAGTTAATTTAGGGCATTGAAGTAAAGAAAAACAGCTCTTACCAAATTAGTATTTTTTGGAAGAAAGGATATAAACATGGCTAAAGAAGGTTACCTAGTGATTCACAATTGAACGATAAACAAAATGCCCATGGACTTCCTTAAAATGACTGTTAAATCCCATCTCTAACAGTGCATTTATTAAAAACTGGCTTGACTCTGAATCAGCATGATGCATTACACAGGCTGAAGACAGCCAACAGTATCTCAACATTTAGTTTTGAACACAGCATTTCAGCCTATGGTATCCTACAGTGATTTCTGTCTGCACAACAATGTGGGAGAAATCTATGTTTAATTATATGAAAAATGAGTCAGCACTGAAAACATTCAGTTGAGAGACTGACGAGATAAAGTGGGTCACGAGAAAAATTATCTGCGCGCTTGGCTTAACGAATGACCCAAAAGAAATTATAAGCTTAAAAAACAAAAATACAATGCTGGCACTTTGGAGAAGAGAACTTAATTCTGAAAAGCATTGTGGAGTCATTGTAACTAAACAACTGCACATGAAAGTGTCTTGGGGTCACTGTAGCTGAATAACTGCATGAGAATCCAGTAATACAGACAAAGGGGTATCAGAGATTCCCTGCTATGCAAACTGAAGAGTTGAGCAGTATGATACTGTTTCCCTGGTGAACCTGAAGCTGAAATATTGTTTATAGCTCTGGTATTTCATCATTTAAAAAACTGAAATATTCAAAGCATTAAAAGGATTATTTGTAACTATGAAAACAGACTTTACAATAGGCAAATGGAATACTTCAATCTATTCAACTCCCTGAAGAGAAAGTCCAGCAATATCTCGATCGTGATGTATGACTACCCACAGGAAAGATCCCTCAATACCTAATCAAACACACAGTTGAGGCAAAATGGCTCTAAGTTGAAGATGGAAATAAAGTAAGCTTTTCACTACTAGAATCTTGAAACAATTCTCAGTAAAATGATCTTTCATCCGCAAGATGCCAGACCGTTCATGGTAAGCAATACTGAAGTTCTACAGATTATATTAGATTAGAAAACTGGTCTCTTTCCTACAAGGAAAGTTCGTGAATGTCTTAATCATAAATACAAAGTATTCCTGAGTTATTCCTTGCAACATTTGAATGTATCACCTGAAGCTAGTTCTCCAGCTTCTTTTAAACTTCCCAAAGAGTATAAGGATCTGAATCTTAAAAACTTTGAGGATTTCTCCATGTTTCCCTTTTGCTTTGCTACAGCTCTCCAAGGGTTCTATAAAAATCAGCTTTCTAGACTTAGGAGATCTAAGAGCTCACACCTGCATCACCCATGATCTCTACAACCTGTAAGACCACAGTCTATTAAAAGGCGATTCTCCTCTCTGCAAGTTAGGAAATATGGTAGGTCCCAAGAAATAAAGAGTTTCTCACCTCTTACAGTCACTGGTTTGAGAATCTCCATTATTCAGGAGATTCTTACCTCAAAATGATCAGCAGAATGAACTACAAAAATCATTTACCAAATCAGAAGACTGACACCTAGTCTTTTCCCATTTTCTTGAGAATGTCTGCTCCCACAATGAGTAACACCTGGTCTTTTTGGCATTGTACAGTCCAGTATAGGATTAGGCGATTATACATATAGCTATTAAAATTCTGTGGACTGTCAGAATGAAATAAGCAAGCCAAACCTACGTGGAGTTTCATGGGGAAGAAAAAAAATATATATTGTCTGGTTTCAGCTCACACTCTGCTGAAAAGTAAGGATTCTTTTTTTAATCCCCTCACTCAAAAAAACAAAACCAGTTTAAGGAATGAGTGTCTAGTGTCTCTATAGTGATTTTTCAAATTTAAGGGCTACAAACTGCTCCAGCTACCTAAAATAACAGAAAATATAATTTTTTTAAAGTAATTTAATGATTGCCACTTAACATATACTACTGTGATAAATGGAAGAAATTCTGAAGTGGAGTTCAGGGACCAACACTATCGTCAAAACAACCAGTCTACAATCGTGAATGAATTTTTTTTCTTTTTTAAATGCAATGAACTGTCAAACGTTAAACTTTAAACACATCAGAGCAGCCAAGAAATGCCCTACTTCAAAATATAAGGATGAGTATAGTAGTCTGAAGCAAAAGTACTGTTAATGTCACTGCCCATTTCCAACTTTGCCTCGTTTCACAGAGCTGCATGTGACAAATGGTAAGTATTTCTGTATGAAGGATTTTTCATGTATCTTTGCAGCTCTACATCACGTTGACCTTGCAATAATTATGGGGAACAAATGTATTGTTAAAAATGTTTTTTAAAAAATGGCATACTTCAAATAGCCTCTAAGATCAATCATTAGAGACCTTCATGAAAGGCCTAAAAACAGCCAACCTACAAGTATATATATTTGTTTTTACCTGAAACAATTACAGATGATCCTGGGTCAATAACTCCGCTGTTTGGCCTCACACAGTATCGACGAGGCGCTGTGGTCTTCACTTTGAAGCATACTTTTCTATCTGATGGATTTCGTAGTTTAAGATTTGTAGTAACTACATCTGTAAAGGGACCTGAAAAAAGGGTTGGTGGTATTAGATATGCATGTATCTCTGGAACAGAAATCTGTTTATACAGTACAAATTACTTTTAAAATATAACTTGAAGGCAACGAACTTCTAGAAGCAGGTTAAATCATACCTCTGTTAAGCACATATACTGTTACATGCAAAGCATGCTCTATCACCTTAGTTATGGTAATATACATTACAGCAATGGACAAACAACTCCCTTAAATAGTACGACAGACTCAAGTTGCTGGTGCAAAAGTTCATATATACATATGCTAATTTTACTAAATCCTTCCTAACACGTTAAATATCTAGAAGGTAACGGTCATATGCAAAAGTAAATTTTGCTTGATTTTTCTTCAGGAATAGAAGTAACAGGTACTTTGGAACTCTTTCAAATGTTTAAAGAAAGAAAACACTGTGATACTGAAATATATTAACTGCTCTTGACATTTCACCTTCTGTGGTGCTTCTGAGCTCCCGTAGACTTGACAGAAACAGACATCAACCTCATCTTTTAAACTCAAAATAGGCAAAAGAGATGATACTCTTGTTTATGCATGTACTCTACCTGATCCACAGAAAAGAAGTTGTAGATGCCATATTTACATATCCAATGCAGTGTATTCTTTAAACTGTACTTATGTTAAACCATTAGGATAGGAATTGCCCCTAAGACTCGATTGGACAAGAGGCATAATTTCAATGTCAAGCTGCAAAAGCACATCTTCCAATAGAGATCACCTCCATGTGATGCCATACAGGAACAGCGTGAAAAGCAAGTAAGGTTCACAGTGTTCTGAGCTGTGTTAATCTCCCTTATGCTTGTGTCATCTGAAAGCAAGACTGCACAAGCACTGAAAGAATACAACTTAGAAAATGGCATTTTACATGAAAATGAAATTTATTCAATATTTCATGTGAACATTAACTTTTAAGAACCTTCTTTACCATTCTTTAAAAATTACATAAATTACTAAAAAATACTTTTCATCAGAATTGAAAACATGACAACTACTCATCCATTAAAAGAACTGACACACACAAAGAAAGCAAACCTTAGATTAAATAGGATGAAAACTACAGGTGATATGAGCAGGTGGTAAGGTACAACGTGGTTTAGGCCCAGCCAGCAGCTGAGCACCAGGCGGCCCGCTCACTCACTCCTTCCCCAGCAGGACCGGGAGGAGAACAGAAAAAAAACAATGGCAAAAGCCTCGAGGGTTGGGATAAGGGCAGTTTACTGGGACAGCAAGGGAGAGGGAAAAACAATCAACAACAGTGCTGATAACAGATAGTAACAATGGGTGATAACAGAGAACAATTTACCAAACCAACCACTGACCGACCAGACGCTGAAACTGCGCAGCTCCTCCCCTGCCGCACTAGCCCCCTTTTATGGTGAGCACGGCATGGAATAGCCCCCGGCCAGCTTGGCTCACCTGTCCTGGCTCCTTGTAAAATTAACTCTATCCTTGCCAGAACCAGGACATTATCCACCCCTTATTCCATACCATCTACGTCATGCCCAGATTTTTCACTGACACCATTCTCTTACTCTGTGGGCCATCGCTCTAAAGTGTCCATTGAGTT